GGGAGCCCAAGGTAGGAACTCAGGGCAGGAACCTGGAGGCAGGAGCTGGAGCACAGGCCATGGAGGAACACTGCTTACTTGCTTGCTCCCCTGGCCCCTGCTCAGCCTGCTCTCTTATGCAACACAGGCCCATTTGCCCAGGGGTGGCACCACCCACAGTGGGCTGGACCCTCCCACCATCACTCATCAAGAAGATGCCCCTCAGACATGGCCACAGGCCAGTCCAATAGAGGAAATTCCCCAACTGAGGCTCCCTCAACCCAGGTGTGTCAAGTTGACACTAAAGCTCTCCAGCACACCAAGTATGAACTACCTTAGAACAAATCACAAAAGAACCATCAGTTTTATTTTCTGTGGGGCCAAAGTCCTCTGAAGAACTGCCTGGGAGTCTGCAGGAATGTCCTCAAGTGCCCAGTTATCACAGCCAGATAAATGCTGAAACAGAGTGGTGCTGTGTACCTCTTCCACATAGCACCTGCACCTTATCTACTCCCGTCACTGTCACTGTCCCTCCCTCCCTCTTAATGGGTCTTGTCACTCAGTGGCGTTCTGTCAGTAAGCAGTGAGCCTCTCCATGATGCTGAGCTTCAAGACATCATGAGGGGTTGAGATTTCCCTTCTATCACTGATATTGTCAGTAGCAGCAGCAGCAGCACCGTCATCATCATCATTAATTTATTAGATTTACAGTTCATCACAACCTATTACCAATTTCTCACAGTGAGACCACCAGGGGGAAATGTTCCCTCCTGGCCCAGTCACTGAAGGCATGGCTGGAACAGGTGTCCATGAGAGGGACACTAGGCAGACATATATTTAAATATCCTCTTGTCAGGAACTGTCTCTACGTTAAAGTACTATAGGAAGTGGGTGATTGAAAAAACTTTCAAGAACCAAAGCACAGAACCCATGTAAGAGACAAGGACACTGGAATTCAGAGAATTAAGAGGACTTGCTCATGGTCACACCATGAGAAAGTGGCAGTCAGTCTCTGGACCTCAGTCCCTGAAGCTCCCCGCTCCCTCCTGCTCCTGCTTCTATGTTACAGGTGTCAACCGGTTCTATGACAACATCCAGGAGATGGTTGGCTCAAGGCCCTGCATCTGGTGGAAACTGTGCTGGTCCTTCTTCACACCCATCATCGTGGCAGTAAGGATGGGGCTCAACTGGCCACTGGGATGTGCCTAACTGGGGTGCTCAACTCCCTGGGGAAAACTTTGGTGGGACACCTGCTCCCTAGTCACACTTATCCCTACTGTTTGCTGGGCATCTGTGAGGGGCCCTGATTGGGGGCAGACACATAACTTGGTTTTCACATTCTCAGCCAATAAACCTGTCCAAGTTACCATCAAGGGAATTGATCTCACCCAGCTCAGCCTAACCCAGGAGCCCAGATTCCTGGCATACAGTTCCTCAGAAAGTCTCATTACCTCCTTTAAGGGGAGCTGAGGTCTGGCAGGCCTGGAGGCAGGCACCCCAGGTCCAAGGGGCGGGGATGCTGCCTATGTTGTGTTCTGTATAAGATCATGGCAGCCCCCCTGGGGGGGCATCCAGCCCTTGTACTGCCCACCACACTGGCTAACCTGCAGGCAGGGGTCCTCCTCTACAGGCCTTTCCAGGGGCAAGGGAAGGGGTCTTCCATAATGCACAGAGGCACCTGGTGGACCAACAGCAGAAAGCTAGCATACCAGGTCTATGGAAGGGTCGGTTCTGGGCAGGAGTGGGGCCTTGCTTGTCTAGCCTGGTGCCTGACTATTGTGGCCCTTCCCCATCCCCAGGGAGTGTTCCTCTTCAGCGCTGTGCAGATGACACCTCTCACCATGGGAAGCTACGTTTTCCCCAAGTGGGGCCAGGGCGTGGGCTGGCTCATGGCTCTGTCCTCCATGGTGCTCATCCCTGGATACATGGTATACATGTTCCTTACCTTAAAGGGCTCTCTGAAGCAGGTAAGCCCTGTCCCATACCTGGTGGAGTTCAAGTCAGTAGCCAGCATCGTCAGAGTGGCAGAGTGTACCTCTGGGGCAATGGGAGCAAACAGCCCTCTCTGGGTCAGGGAAGATTATGGCTGGCCTCCTGAAGAGCAGATTAATAAAGCAGGCCTGGAAGATAAGCCACACTGAGTGCTAGAAGTAGAAAGAATGTTCCTAGAATGGGGGAGAAGAAGATGGGAAGCATGTGCAAAGGTTCATGCCATGAAATGCATGTGGCAAGCTGATGGAAGACCACTGTGGCTAGAGAGCCAAGGGAGGAGGGCTAGGGGGTATAAGAAGGCAAGGCTAGGCATCACAGGGCTCTGGAAATAAGGGCAAGAACTTGAGGCTTTGTCCTGAGGGCTGTTGGGAGCCTTCCCTGGCTCTGAGACAGATGAGAGTGGGATCAGCTTGTGGAGAGCTTCCTGTAGGCGTTCTCTTGTGGGTGCAATACAGAGAATGTTGTCCAGTCTGAAGGAGAGACATACTACCCTCCATCACACATGGGGTGCACTTCCCTGAGCCTGGATGCTCAGGGGCAGAGGTGTTTCAGACTTAGATGTGTTCTGATTTGAGAATGTGTGTAGATGTGGTGAGGTGTCTCAGAGACAAAACCCAAGCCCAAACACAGAATTCATTTGTTTCCTAGACACCTTATTTGCACAGCCTGAAGGCAATTTTTAAAAGTTTATGTGTTTGAGTGTTTTGCCTGAATGTATGCTAAGTGTGTGTAATGCCTGTGGAGACCAGAAGAGGGCGACCGATTCCTTGGAACTGGAGTTACAGATGGCTGTCAGTCACCATGTGGGTGCTGTAGACAGAGCCAGAGTCCTCTGTAGGAGCAGCCAGTGCTCTTAACCACTGAACCATCTCTCAGCCCCTGAGGTCAATTTTACATAACATTTTTAGTGCCCCAGAGTTTTGACTGTGACCCCATCACATGGGTTGGGGAGCCTCAAAATGTTACTGGGTCTCACGGTGGCCAAAGGTGATGGGGGTGCAACTGAGAACAGTCAGAGCAAAGGTCAGGGGTCAGGTCAGGGTTCAGCTGATAGGCAAGCTGGAGAGGATGGTGCAATGAAAGTTATAGGAACTCACCCACTCAGCAGAAATGTATTGAACACCTACTAGGTGCCAGACCCATTGTCAGCTCTGGAGACAGAGCCACAAGCCAAACAAACAGAAACCTCAGCCTTGAGGCACTTACATGCCAAAGAGGAAGATGGACTATTATTGAATAAGAACATGTGAGATGGGGGTGGGTACTGTGGGGGGAAAACTAGTAAGTAGGGAATAAGGGTGTGCTGAGTGAGCCTCAGTGAGACGCTGATATACTTGAGCCCAGACCTGAGGAGTCAGAGAGCAAGCTCTGTAAACATCTGAAAGGAAGGCAGGCAGAGGAACAGCATGTGCGAAGGCCCTGAGGCAAGGTCTGTCTGAGGTGTTTGAGGAGCAGGAGGCCAGTATGACTGGAGTGGCTCAGTGAGGGAAGAGATGGGGAAACCCTGAACTCTGAGAGGTAACAGGATAGCCTGTGGAAAGTTTGGTAGGATTCTGGCTTTTACATTGGGTAAAACAGGAACCCCTTGCTGGGTCCTGAGGCATGGAAGGATGGCATCTGACTGGCATCCTGCTGCCCTGCTGTGAGAATGGAAGAGAGATTACAGCAAGCCTGGAAGCAGAGGGCCAGTCCAGAGCCTCTTTGTCACCTGAGAGCAGGCATGTTCTGGTCAGATGGCTATGGGGGGCTTGTGACTAACTGAGGAGGCTGGAGTTGGGCTTGGTGTGAAGGGCACTTACAGGCAGGCAGGGTGATGGGACAGGCTGATCCCCACTGCAGGGAGTCTCATGCCCCCCTTCCCCACTGCCCACAGCGCCTCCAGGTCATGATCCAGCCCAGTGAAGACATCGTGCGCCCTGAGAATGGCCCGGAGCAGCCTCAGGCCGGCAGCTCAGCCAGCAAGGAGGCCTACATTTAGGGGTGTGGCCCCTTGCCACCCCAACGCTGACACACCCTGGAGTGGCTGTACCTACACCCCTTGAAGACTGAAGATGCCCTGTCTCCACCTACCTCAAGGGGCAGGTCTAGACACCATCACCGTGCAGAAAGGGGAGGTGGGAGACAGTCCAACCCTGGGTGGGCCCTGTGTGGGCAGCCACCCCAGGGGCTTCCACAGCAGGCTGGTGACCTTTCTGTCCAGCCCCATAGCATGAGCAGGTGGCTGGCCTTTGTCACTGCCACCGTAGCTCATTTTTATCCTGCCAGAGAGGGTGACAACTGAGGCCACACACTCCTGGTTTTTAGTCATACTCAGACTGTTCTCCTGCCCAAACTGTGACTGTTATCTCAGACTTTCCTGCCTGCCTTGGCTCTGGACCCAGGCTGTGGACCAGGACCAGGATGTTTTTGTACACAGTCCACAGGGAGCCAGCATGCTCTGCCTCTTCTCAACTGATTGCTCCTTCCCAAGGCAGCTGCACATTCATAGACCCACCCCAGACACCTCAGTGACTGCTCCAGGAGCCTTGTGGAGAGGGTCCTTTGTCCCTATGACCCTGTGACCCTGTGATCCAGGCAGCTCAGTGCTCTTGCCCCGCCTCCCCGGGTGGCACTGTCAGCAGCAGCCCAGACAGAAGGGACCTGTGTGCTGGGGGAGAAAAAAAAAAAAAATAGCCACAAGCACAATTGACTTCTTTGGTCACCATTCCTCTGGGGTCCTTCCCCAAGCAGGAGCTGTGACTCTTCTGAGCTGCCCAGGGTTGCAGAGTGCAGAAACCAAGGTAAGGGATCTGTTTGGAGTCAGGACAGATCCAGCTGGCCCTGGTTTCCCTCTTAGATTGTCACTGTCACTGCCACTGCCACTGCTTCCCCAGCTGCCACCTCCTCACCATTCTGGAAATTCCTCAGATGTACCTGCCCACTAACAGAGGAGCATTAATCCAGAGGCTTTCCCCACCCCTCCCCAGTGCTCTGCCTCCCTTGCTAACCTGCTCCTGTCAGAAGTGTCACTTCTTCCTTCTGACATCTGGCTCTGTGTTGTTTGCAGGGAAGCCAGTAGAGTTTCTCGAAAGTTCCAGCAGCTCAGCCTCTCTCATCTGCTGAGAGGATGGGCTCCCATGTAGCAAAGTGTATGTCATGTCCCATAGCTCCTTAGCTCGATAGCTCACAAACTGTGTGTTTTATGGCTAATCCTTAATAACTATGGTGAATAACTGTGACTGTGGGTTTTTTAAATCTTGTCATTCTCATCCAAAAGTGACCAGCATTCCCATTCTTGCAATAAGCTGTTACCCTCAGAGTATTAAGCACACTAGGTAGAGAATGCAAACATGTATGCACATAGAAATGCACACACATGCACCCTCACGTGTGGCATTTAGGGTTTCTGTGATCTTGTGTAGGCAATCCACCAGCTTTCCCTGAGGCTCCCTGTAAAAGGGTCACTTGGCTGAGGCATCGCCCTGCTTAGTGCTGACTCTGTGATCCACTTGCACAGGTGTGGTCACCAGAGTCCAGGGTGTAGAATACAAGGACCCTACACTGTGTCTCATGGCCCCATCCCTCCCCGACCTGTGTGTGAAGCCCTGTTAGAATGAGAGCAGGAGAATTCCTTATCTCTGCTCTGTGTTCTTTAATGTGAAACTGAAAACAAGTCTTTTTAAGATAAATGCAGTATATTTAATGTTTGTAAGCAACTCTAACTGAGATGTTTGGCAAGAAATCCCCTGATTTCCACCCAAACTTACCTTATAGAGCACAACGTTAAGTGTCTACAATTACCGTGAGAGCTGTGAATATGTGTAACTTTTCTTTTTTAGTATTTGCCCAGAGGGAAAATGATATTGTATTACCATATATGCTTTTGTTTTTGCAATAAGGATTTATTCTCAGAACACCAAGTAAATCTATCTCTATATAAAAAGTATATGTAATATATGCATATTCAAGCTATATACAGAGCCTGTTTTAAAAAATTACAGTATTATTTAGTAAAATTATCTGTTCTATGGACCAAATGTAAAATATTTATACACGAAGATGCATTTTAAATGTCTATAAATGATGTCACAACTAGAGCACGGGCGTTATGTAAGTTTCTAAGAATTTAGAGGAAAAATAATAAAGGTTCTATGATATGCACTTCAGATCTCCCTTTCTTAGGGGTGAGAACACACAGCCTGTGTTAGTTTCCTTCACATTGTTGTGATCAGTACCATGAGCAAAAGCAACTTGGGGAAGAAAAGGTTTATCACCGGTAACAGTTCATCACTGAGGGAATTCAGGGAAGGAACCTGGAGGCAGGAACTGAAGCAGAGATCATGGACAAGCACTGCTTACTGACTTGCTCAGCTGTCTTATACAGCCCTGGTCTACCTGCCCAGGGATGGCACTGTCCACAAAGAGCTGGGCACTCCTACATCAACTAGCAATTAAGAAAAGTCCCCCACAGGCATGGCAATATGGAGGAATTCCTCAATTAAGGTTCCCTCCTCCCAGGTGTCTCTAGTTTGTGTCAAGTTGACAAAAACTAACCAGTATAGCCTCTTTTATCAAAACACCACCATGTAGACACAAAATAGTTTTGTCTCAGGCTGAGAGAGTTAGGCTCAAAATCCACTGAAATAGAGCTTGACTCACCCAAAGAAATGAGTAATGAGGAAATGACTGAGCTACATAGGGAAAGTGTTTTCACTGTGTATGTGGTCAGTTAAATAAAGATCTAAACTGAAGGATAATAGAAGTGCATTTGGTTAACAGTGACATGGGATTGATGATGCGTTCTTCAGAATTTTGATTCTTTTTTAAATCTTAACCAGAAAATTGCCACAGATATTTTAAGAATAGCTCACTGGACTACTGTGTACTGCTCACCAGGGTTCTCTAGTTGTAGACACGCCATCTTCTCTCCTTCCCTCCCTCCTCCTCCTCCTCCCTGTCTGTCTTCCCTTCCCCTTCCCTTCCTCCTGTCTTCCCTTCTATCAATCAAACTTCAGCCTGGGATGAGAAACTGCTATGAACACAACGGTATAAGAAATTTATTACAGGAACAAGATAATGGTTAGATAATGGTGAAAGGGGCTGGGAAATAAGAGCCTGAGATAGGGACCTGAGCGACCAGAGTGGCTATTCTTCACACTCCTTGCAACCTTTTTGCTGCTGCCTCTGGCTGCTCCAGCAGCTCAGAACTCCACCGCATGCACCTTACGTGTAGAGCAGCGGGAGACTCAAAGTTAGTTACTGGGGCCTCTTGAGAGCCCTGAAAGATCACATTCTCCACTCTGGAACCAAGAGCTTACTTTCAGCATTGAAAGCTCCTCAAAAGAACAAGAATCCAGAACTGGGCTGGTGGGATGGCTCAGTGGATAAAGGAGTTTGTCAACAAGTCTGGCCACTGAGTGTTTGATCTCCAAAACCTATATATTGGAAAAGAACCCATTCCTGTAAGCTCTCTGACCTCCCCGCCACACAGGCCTCTGCCAGCCAGGGCCTATCTTCGGAGCCTGGGCCCTACCCATGAAGCCCTGCCTGTGGAGCCCCGCCTCTGTTCCTGGAGCCCCACCCCTGCCGTGGAGCCCCGCCCCTGTCTGTGGAGCCCCACCTTGCCATGGAGCCTCGCCCGTCTGTGGAGCCCCGCCCTGCCATGGAACCCCGCCCCTGTCTGTGGAGCCCCGCCCTGCCGTGGAACCCCGCCCCTGTCTGTGGAGCCCCCATCCCTGCCTGCTTCTTCGCTTTTGGCTTTGTCGGTTTGCCGCCATAATGCTGTCTTGTCACAGGCCCAGGGTACAGCGCTGGCCATCAGAAGCTGGGAATCTGTGGAGCCCGGGGTCCAAATGAACCTTTCCGAGAGTTGGTTTGGGTTTTCAGGCGGGGTCTCTCGGTGTTTTGAGGCTGCGCTCCTGGGCTCCCTCAGGCACTCGGCCCCAGGGCGGAAAGCCGGCCCCGCGCCCCGACCTCTGTGTCCCTTATGCCTCAGACACCGCATGAGTGGGACGGCCTGGCTTCCTGTGGGGCCTGCGTCTGCCCTGCCAAGGCAGGTGACAGAAATGCAGCACGGGCCCTGCCTCACCAAGGCATTCTGGGAAATGCAGCCATAGCTCCACGTGGCCGGCCTTCTTTCTCCCTCACGCAACGTGCAGGTGATTATTATTTTGCTAAGCGCTTTGAGAAGGACCTGCTGTGCAGCCATAGCTCCACGTGGCCGGCCTTCTTTCTCCCTCATGCAACGTGCAGGTGATTATTATTTTGCTAAGCGCTTTGAGAAGGACCTGCTGACCTTCAGATCCCCCCATTAAAACTGCAAGCCTTCTACAAGCAAGAATCCCTGACGTAAATGTGTTGTCAGATTCAGACTTCACACAGTCATAATGCTGTTAAATCCATAGTCCACCTCCAGTTTCCCTGAATGTCCCTATAGCATCTCTTACAGTGACATTAGTCTGATCCAGGATCCAACTTAGGAGCAAGTGTTGCACTGAGTTGTCTTGTCCCTTCCACACCTTTTAATCACCTGTTACCTGTCAAGCCGAGGTGGCTGCTCAAACTAACAGAGGGCTGATCTGCCAACTGACACTTCTCTGAACTAATGGGGAGGTAAAGAGCTGTGGACATTTCAAAGGAGATTTTTTTTTTTTTTCTGAAGAACAAGCAACAGATTAAGAAACTATCCTCTTGGGTTGAAGGGCCCAGACCCCTCAGGATTTGTCTGCAACCTTCCTGACCTTCCTCTAGTCCTAAGCCCTTATAGCTCAGACTTCAAAGGAAATCAGAGGTTCCCTTCTCAATCGGGACCACAGTGATTTCCCTTGGGGTCTTCTCCCTGCTGGGGACCAAGGACTTTGACAGACTCCCTGCCAGCCTCTCTCCCTTACTGCTTTCCAGCAGAAAGTTGGAAACAGGTCTGAGGGCTCAGGATTGTAAAGACTCTTCAAAGGCTGGTTCAGTTGGAAGCTTGTGTTGTTTTTAAGTGTGTCTCTAACTGCAGTATGCATTGATGTCCCCTGAGGGAGCTTGGCTGCATGCAGAGTGTGGTTCACTGGGTCTGGGATGAGGTCTGAGAGATTGTGGGCATCTAACAAGTACTCAGGCATAGCTGATGATTTTTTTGTTTGAGCTTTAAATAACAAGGATATGAAGAAAATCTGTCTCTTCTGAAATGCTCATAGGGGTTTTACAACCTGCTTATAAACCTGACAGAACCTTTAAACGGCCTGCCATAAGAGACTTCCTTGATTCAAACATTTCTGGAGGCACTGGCCTCAGGCATAGTTGGATCCAGGTGCTCAAAGGATGGCATCTGGAAGAGGCTCTCTCTGTCTCTTGCTTTTTTCTCTGCCCTAACTTTACTTTCACATTGTCTGCATACTTAATGGTGGAGAAGGGGACCTTTCAGGTTTGCACTCTACTTATTTATAGTGTGTTTCTTGTCCCTAATACATGTATATGTCTGGGACCCCTCTAGGACACATGCCCATCTCCCACCTGATAAGTATAAGCAAGGGGACAGAATGTTCAGAATGGCCAGACCTGGCCACTTCTTAAGCAAATGAATCTATCCGTTATACCCAAGCACATGGACTGTGAGAGTCAAAAGAGAACAGAGGACATGGATGCTGGGGCAGACAAACACAGCAAAGACCCACAGAGCAGACTTTCCAACTTTAGAGCCCTTCATTACACGGGTCTCCCCATGGCTGTGCCTACTTGTTCCCATTTTTAGCATAAGTCCTTCATGTGGGGCATCAGAGGCAGATGGAGAGGAACTGGGTGTGTGAGATTTGGAGAGACCATCCAAGGCAGGGCTATGTGGCAGCTCCAGAGGTGGAAGTCAGGAACAGGAACACTACCTCAAGGTGGCCCTGACTATCATGATTACTCTCCTGGACCACAACACCATACTCTGGCTTGCCTCCTCCCTCCAGGCTTGCCCACTATATTTTATATGTAACAGCACCAGCGTGAGCTCTTAAAATACAGATTGACTCATGTCATATGGCTGCTCCAAGCCTCCAAATGGCTTCTCACACCACATCTAGACTGTAGTTCCATCTCCTTGCTCTGGCCTGGAACTGATCTGACTGCTCTCACTTCCATGCACATCACTCACCTTTGTTCATGGCACTTTGCCTATGGGGGGCATCTCTCTACCCCGTGACCTTTTGTCCCTGCCATGGTACCCTTTTATTCATTGTTCTCTATGCTTGGACAATGCTGGATCACCAAGGAGGCCTTGATTTAGCCAGGAATGTTAGGATGATTTGGGGAAAGAACCACCTAACCTGGGAACCAAGGGATGACTCAGCTGCAGCGACTTTGGTCAAACTATGGCCACACCTACTCAAAGCTGAAGGATGGGGAAGAGTTGGTGAGAATGTCAAAGGGGGTGGAGTTAGCAAAGGTGCAGAGGCTTAGTACACAGAAACCTGGGCAGAAAGCATTTGCTTTCCATGTTAGGGAGATTGTAGGCCTTATTCTTGCTGTTTCTCCCTCTTGATCTTTTCCCATGAGATCCCATGGCTGCCTCCTTCCCTTCATTCAGGTCTCTGCTCAAGTGCCATCTCTCTGAGGCCTGCCCTGATCATTCTAATCTCTCCCTCTCCATCTCCTCACCCTGTTTTTTTTTTTTTTTTTTTTGGTCTTTCTAGTTTGTTAACATAGGGTCTTTACTATGTAGCCCCAGCTTATCTCAAGCTCAAAATCCTCCTACCTAGGCCTCCCAAGTGCTGGGATTACAGATGTGTGCCAACATACTCATAGCCTCTTTATTTTTCATTTATTTATTTATTTATTTAGGGTCCAAATGCCATAGATCATGTGTGGAGGTCAGAGGACAACTTACAGGAGTCAGTTCTCTCCTTTCACCATGTGGGACCAAGGGATGGAACTCAGGTTCTCAGGTATGGTGGCAAGTGCCTTTACCTACTGAGCCATCTCACTGTCCCACCCCATCCCTTATTTTTCTTTTTCTTACTAATATGTTCCTTAATTTATAATCTATCTTCCCTGTCCCTGCCCATCTCCCATAAAAAAGGCTCTGAGAGGATGAGGACTTTTTCTAATCACTGCTATGCCCTAAATATCTACAGAATGCCTGATGCACAGTAGGAGCTCGATAAATGGATGGATAATGAATGGATGCATAT